GGTGGTTGCGCTGATGAGTAGTGCTACATACGGTGTGTTTGGCACCCCTTATATGGAAGTCCAGGGCTGTAACATCCATTGTTGCTAGCTTGTAAGATTTTCGACATCAACAGCAGTAGGTGTCGCGGTTACTTCCTGGCACAGGATTGACCCAAATGTAATTCGGATTCCTTGGCCACAGCAGATTAAACAAACAGACAAACTAAGCTAGCAACTATCTTGTTCTGTACCTCACCTCAAGTAACCATAGTAACGGGTGTGCATGCTTTCGTGCTTTCTGCTATTACGTGGAGCGTGAGGTGCACTCAACGTTACACTGCATGATTTTTTAGTTAGCTTACATTAGTTACAGTTAATTTTGTTATGATATGTACTTAATTCTAAGAAAGGTAATGTAAATTATTAAAATAAGACCTTTGTAACAAAACCCAAGACTTTGTATTATTATTCAAGGCTATTAAGGCCTTAAAATGAGATTATCAAATTTAAGACTTTTATAGATGCTTTTAAGACCCAATGGGTACTTTGATTAGGTTTTGCATATAAATACTTGTGCTTGATACATTTGTTTCAGTTTGGTATTTGCCTATTACATGAGACTAGAATATTTGGTGTGTGTGTGTGTGTGTTTGTGTGTGTATATATATGCATGTATACAATATATACAACATAATAGAATTTACTTTATAGTATGGTTAAAAACGTAATATTATTTAATATAAAATACAATTACAACTTGTTACTACTGTCATCTGGGTTAAATTCTAGTATATCATTTTTTAACGGTACCTTTAGAACCTTATAACATCACTAAAAGCAGCATCGAAGCAGTCTCCTTTCAGTCACTCCACCTCTTCATGGAGATTTTCAGCCTGATCTGGTGTATTAATCAACTATTATGGGTTCTGGAACTGAACAAAAATGATTTTCTAGATGCTGGACATCCACTGGCAGAGGATCCTCATCAATTTAAGAGTAAATCCCCCTTCTTTACCATGCTCTGATGCGTTTAGGTTTCGCCTCTATTAGATTTCGGCGTAGAGCGCGCTATGTAGACGTAAAGAGCCTGACTGATATTCTACCAAAACCACGTCAGCAGAGTTCATGCATAGAGTCCATATAATATAACTTCAATGTTAAGCAGCTTTGACACATATTACATAGTAAAAGCACTAGATAAATAAAGCTGAATCTGAAATTGAATCTGCTTAAATGTGTACACGTTAATGGACCAAACAAAATTAGATTAGATTAGATTCAACTTTATTTTCATTACACATGTACAAGTACAATGCATCGAAATGTGGTTTAAGTCTAACCAGCAGTGCAATAGCAGCAAGTGCAGGATACAGGAATAAGTTATAAAGTGCAGTTATAGAAAACTATGGTGATATTTACAGATGGATGTACTATGAACATTATATACAGGTTGGATAAGCTATAAACAGATTTACAATATATGAATATATGTGCAGGTTGTTATTAATAAACAGTAGTTTGCAGATAGATAAACATGATTACAATTGTATATGTTACAATATATGAATATATGTACAGGTTGCTATTAATAATCAGTAGTATGCAGATAAATAAGCATGATTACAAGTGTATATGTATAGTGGGTGTGTACATAATTACAAATGCCCATATGCAGTGGTTATGAACAGTTCAATAAGTAAACAGTTCAATGTGGTGCAGTGAATGTGCAAATTTTAAACAAGCAAATATTAAACAATGTAGTTATTGCAAGAAGTTTAAGTTAGAGGAGAGTGGAGGGTGTATTGGGGGGGCAAAAGAGTCAGTGTGGGGCAGAGTTCAGGAGGCAGACAGCTCTGGGGAAAAAGCTGTTCCTCAGTCTGCTGGTTTTTGTCCGGGGGAGCCTGAAGTGCCTGCCGGAGGGCAGGAGAGAAAACAGTCTGTGAGCGGGTTGAAAGGTGTCCTTCAGAATACTGCGTGCTCGGCGCAAACAGTGTTTCTTCTGGATGTCCTCTATGGCAGGCAGTGTGGTCCCTGTGATGTGTTGGGCAGTTTTCACCACCCGCTGCAGTGCCTTACGCTCAGCAACAGAGCAGCTTCCATACCAGACTGTGACACAGTTTGTCAGGATGCTCTCTTTTGTGCAGCGGTAGAAGTTCACCAAGACGGCTGATGAAAGCTGGTTCTTCTTCAGTTGCCTTAAGAAAAATAGGTGCTGGTGAGGCTTCTTGATCAGGCTGGAGGTGTTGGTGGACCAGGAAAGGTCCTTTGAGATGTGGGTCCCCAGGAACTTAAAGGATGAGACAGGCTCAACGGCCATCTCATTGATGTGAATGGGATCATGTGAACCTGTTCGTCCCTTTCTGAAGTCCACAATGAGCTCCTTGGTTTTGTTGGTGTAAAGGAGCAGATTATTGTCGGTGCACCAAGTGGCCAGATGCTGTATCTCCTCCCTGTAGGCCGTCTTATCATTGTTGCTGATTAGACCAATCACTGTGGTGTCATCTGCAAATTTGAAAATGGTGTTGGATCTATTAACAGGCCTACAATCAACGGTAAAAAGGGAGTAGAGGAAGGGGCTCAGCACACAGCCCTGTGGTACACCAGTGTTGAGTGTGACGGTGGTGGAGCAGATGTGACCTGATCTAACATTCTGAGGTCTGTTAGTCAGAAAGTCCATAATCATGTTGCATAGTGATGTGTCAATATCCAGGTTCCTTAGTTTGATCAGTAACTTGGAGGGTATGACAGTGTTGAATGCCGAGCTGAAGTCCACAAACAGCATTCGTGCATAAGTGTTTTTATTGTTCAGGTGTGTGAGTACAGAGTGCAGTGCTATAGAGACTGCATCATCTGTGCTCCTTTTGCCATGGTAGGCAAACTGATGTGGGTCCAGTGTGAATGGCAGAGAGTCTTTTAGATGTGCCAGGACCAACCGCTCGAAGCACTTCATGATGATGGGTGTGAGTGCTACAGGCCGGTAGTCATTCAGGCATGTTGGGCTGGAGTGTTTGGGCACTGGCACAATAGAGGTGGTTTTAAAGCATGTTGGCACAGCTGCTAGGTTGAGCGACAGGTTGAAAATGTCTGTGAATACCCCAGCGAGCTGTTCTGCACATACTTTGAGGACACGCCCAGGAATACCGTCTGGTCCAGCAGCCTTACACCCATTGATACGACTCAGTGCGGTGTGTACTTCTGAGGAGGTGAGTGTGATAGGTGAGTGGTCGGTGGAGGAAGTGATCCTGGTGTAGGGTTCTTTATTGTCTCTATCAAAGCGGGCATAAAAGTCATTTAGCTCGTTCAGGAAGGAGACGTCAGTGGCTGTGGGTGTGGACTGGCTGGGTTTGTAGTTGGTGATGGCCTGGATGCCCTGCCACATGCGCCGAGGATTAGAGTTGGAAAAGTGCTCCTCTAGCTTAAGCGTGTAGCAGTGCTTGGCCTTTTTGATGCCCCTCTTCAGATTAGCCCTGGAAGTGCTGTAGGCCTGTGCATCCCCTTATCTGAAGGCAGTGCTGCGTGCCTTCAGCAAGAGGCGAACCTCCTTGTTCATCCATGGCTTCTGATTTGGGTATGTGGTGATTTGTTTCTGGATTGTAACACTGTCTATGGTGGTGTTAATATATTCCAGAACAGAGGAAGTGTAACTGTCAGTGTCTGTGTGAGAGCCATGTGTGGCCTGGAAAGCAAACATACCCCAGTCTGTGTGTTGAAACCTGTCCTGGAGTGTGGAGTCTACCCCCGCTGGCCACACTTTGATGGTCCTCACTGATGGCTTCACATGGTCGATGAGGGGTGAGTATTTGGGGGTAAGGAACAAAGAAAGGTGATCTAACTGACCCAGGTGGGGGAGGGGGGTCACAGCATAGGCTTCAGCTATGTTTGTGTAAACATGGTCCAATGTTTTGTTTCCCCTTGTATGGCAGAGAATGTTTTAATGGAATTTAGGGAGCACTGTCTTTAAGTTTGAGTGATTAAAATCCCCCGCAACAATAAAAGCAGCCTCCGGGTGAGCAGTCTGTTGTTTGCTGATGGCTGCATGAAGTTCGTTCATAGCCAGCTTTGCATCAGCGTCGGGAGAAATATAAGCAGCAGATATTATGGTGGATGTGAAATCCCGTGGTAGGTAAAAAGGTCTACATTTAACCATTAGGAATTCCAGGTTAGCAGAGCAATGTCTCCCAACGACGATAGAGTTTGTGCACCAAGCTTTGTTAATATAAATGCATAATCCTCCGCCTCTGGTCTTACCGGAGTCATCCGCCGTTCTGTCCGCTCGGAATGTGTGATGCTCCGTTAGCGATACAACGTTGTCTGGTATCCCGCTGTTTAGCCATGTTTCTGTGAAAATCATGACGTTACAGTTCCATAATCTTTTGCTGTGGTTGATGCACAGTCGAATCTCATCCATTTTGTTCACCAGTGACCGTACATTGGCGAGAAAGATGCTGGGTAAAGAGAGCTGGTGTGGTGTTAGCTTTAGCTTAGCTCTTAGCCCGCCGCGCTTTCCCCGTCTTTGTTTACGTTCTCTGCGCGGTCTGTGAGCCCGGGGTGTTCTGGCAATCTCATGGATGAGTCGAAGATTGCTAATAAAACTGTCCGGAATCCACAAACCAATATCCAAAAGCTCCTGTTGGGTATACGATGTAAAGGCACCACAGTTCTGCACGAACAGACCCGAAATGAGCAGGAATAATACTGCAAAAATGCAAAAACTGGAGAGACCCTGAGCCTCGCATTGTGCACGCGCTGCCATCTTGGATCGAATATGATCTGATTTATTTTACATTTAATGTGCATCAAAATTACAGTGAGTGTAACCAATGTTTCCAGTGTCTTTTCACTTTTCAGCTTTTAAGGAGAAATTTTAAGACTTAATGCAAACTAATGTTTTATTTATTTATTTCAGACCTAATTGAAGAGAATGAGGGGAGAAAAGAGGAGGAACATCATGTCAAAATTGAGGAAAAATCTAATTTACAGACTAATGGTATTTTGAAAAGGAGAGACAAGAATCGTTTCACCTGCACTCAGTGTGGAAAGAGTTTTGGAAGAAAAGGCTATCTTAAGATTCACATGAGGATCCATACTGGAGAGAAACCATTCACATGCACTCATTGTGGGAGGAGTTTCAACCGATCATCATCCCTTAATCTACACATGAGGATCCACACTGGAGAGAAACCATTCACATGCACTCAGTGTGGGAAGAGTTTCAGCCAATCATCACACCTTAACAATCACATGAAAATCCACACTGGAGAGAAACCATTCACATGTACTCAGTGTGGGAAGAGTTTCAACCAATTTTCATACCTTAATCTACACATGAAGATTCATACTGGAGAGAAACCATTCACATGCACTCAATGCGGGAGGAGTTTCAACCGATCATCATCCCTTAATCTACACATGAGGATCCACACTGGAGAGAAACCATTCACATGCACTCAGTGTGGGAAGAGTTTTAACCGATCATCACATCTTAACAATCACATGAAAATCCACACTGGAGAGAAACCATTCACTTGTACTCAGTGTGGGAAGAGTTTCAGCCAATCAACATACCTTAATAAACACATGAGGATCCACACTGGAGAGAAACCATTCACATGCACCCAGTGTGAGAAGAGTTTCAACCAATCATCTTCCCTTAATAAACACATGAAAATCCACACTGGAGAGAAACCATTCACATGCACCCAGTGTGGGAGGAGTTTCAACCAATCATCACACCTTAACAGTCACATGAATATCCACACTAAAGAGAAACCATTCACTTGTACTCTGTGTGGGAAGAGCTTCAGCCAATCATCATCCCTTAATCTACACATCATGAGCCACACTGGAGAGAAACTATTCATGTCTAATCATCATGTTTAATCCCGCTCCTTTTCGCAGCGTCGTACAACAGAATTTCTCATGCTCAAACACTAGTGTGACTGCAGCTTCGATGTTGGAGGAGTTTCAGCAACTCATCAGAACTTAATAAACACATGAAGACCCACACTGGAGAGCAGGGGCGTAGATTTAGGGTGGACGGTGGGGACATGTCCCCACCAATATCCACAAACTACCAAAATGTCCCCACCAATAATTTAATTAACTTAAAAACATCGCACTGTCAGTATAAACCTAGACATGCCGAAAGGGTTAAATCACGTTCTCTGCTCCAGTCGCACCGCCACCAAACACATGTGAACATTGTGATTGGCTGTGCCTTTCCCTGCTGTCGTGTGAGTGGCTGCTTTCAGATCATAGTTTCAGATACAAACAGCACCAAAACAACTGCGCGGGGGGAATTTCCCGATGTGTGTGAGGTGTAAGACAGACACGCACAAGTGAGGATGGAGGTAGCAAGAAGAGGTGGACATAAAGAGCTTTTTCCAACGAAAAGTGTGAGTCACATAAACTCAAGTTCGCTACTTAATGAGTCCAAGATGATAATGCCGTTATGCTAGTGTTTTCACCGCTTTTACGTTCAGTCTAACTTTAAAGCAGACTAGTCTGTAAACAATATTCCCTGAAAACCAACTGCAGAATAAACACCTACATGTAAACGTATGACCCTGCCAGTTCTTCTAATCTCTTAGAGTAACATCCCCAATTTTGGTTGAAACAATTTGTCAGAAAAACTACAGCCTGTGCTCCATCTTTTAATAATACTATGAGACATGTTTAATTTGTACGAAAAATGAACGAAAGCCTTTATTAAACTCTCTCTTTATCAGTTCATAAACAAATTTTTAACATAACACTTTCAGGCCTGTAGCCAGCTTATTGAAAGGGGTTTATGGTTTTCTGAAAAACCGAACCTTTTTGCAGTTATTCACCTGATTTTCTGTTTAATTGAGGTATAAATATGACATTTTAGTGACATATTAAGAACTAATTTTTGCTAGATAATCCTGTTGGATAGTTATTACAACTACACGTTTTGATGTATCAAAACTATTTCCTACCATTTTGTCAAATTGCTATATTTACACATTTAAACTGTAAATTTTATTATAGCTTTATAAATAATAAAAATTCTTTGAACTAGAAATTAGGACTTTAAATTATTAGAATAAAGAAATGAAGTACAGTACAGATGCCAAAACCTCTAAATGCCATGTAAAATGAGCATTTTTCTCAGCGTTGTATATTTATGTTCAGTTATTTCACTTTAACGGCAATGAAAAGAACGTATTTGTCACTAGAAAAGTAAAATAACTGAGTCCACACACAGGAATTGGAGAAAAATGCTAATTTTAGAAGAAAATATTAAATGGCATTTAGAGGTTTTTGCATCTAAACTCTTCAAATATGTAAATATACTAATTTTTAAAATACAATTTTTTTATCATAATTTTCTTTGGGAAATTTGTTAAAACTTTATTTAAATTAAAAACTAAAGCCTATAGGCAAATAACAAACTGGCCGGTGCATTCAACCTTCCTCAGTGAGAATTTATCCATTTGAATAATAAGATAAATTCAAACATAATAATAATAATCCAACTGTTGGTCTTTCAAACCACCTGACCCCCCTTGGCTACACGCATGACTATTTAATTTAACTTAATAAATTGTAAGAAGAGGGGATTACTCAATGATACATTTTAATAGCAGTTAAATAATAAATAGCAATATATAAAATATATAATTAATATATATATAAATAAATATATATATATATATATATATATATATATATATATATATATATATATATAAAAACATTCATTCTTGGCGGGGGTGACTCGTCCCCAGTCCCCACCAATGTCAGGTGCAAACCTACGCCCTTGCTGGAGAGAAACCAATCACATGGACTCAGTGTGGGGAGAGTTTCAACAGATCAGCAAACCTTAATGAACACATGAAGATCCACACTGGTGTGAACGAGTATATGTGCTTTGAGTGTGAGAAGACTTTTATTACAGCTCAAATTGAAACTGCAGGAGACGATTCACACTGGAGAGACCATACAAGTCTTCAAACTGACAAGAGGTTTAATCAGTTAACACATCTGAAAACACAAAAGAGGATTCACACTGGTGAGAAACCGTACAGATCTGATCAGTGTCTACAGAGTTTCACTCATTCGGCACAGACCGAAACACATGGACAAAAAGTTGCACACATGACATGAATGCAGCAAAACATTTTCTCATGTGCTCAGGATTTTTCATGTCTGAATAATGTTTCAAAAGGCTGAGTGATAGTATACTGTGTTCCAACACTTCTACACTGCAGTAGGTGGGGTTGTAAATGTGCTGCGATCCTCGTGTTTATCGTAAACACAATGATGGCAGCTGAGTGAAGAACACTTTTATAAACATCTGACAAACAGCACCTCTGCGGCTTAAAATCTCTTTGCAAGTGATTGTACAGCTGCGGATACATCTGTACTCCACTCTCCAGTGTATTCATGTAGCTTGTGTTGTTTTGGATGATATTCTCCGTCTGGCTCCCTGAATAAGAAACAAGTCACTGGAAAGACACCGCACACCAAAGAAAGTGGACCTCCAGGACGGTTAGTTAGCAGTATACCAGGACCTCAAGTTTAGAAAGCTCATTCAATTGTCCTGTGTTGCAACTTTTATTAATAAAGTTTCTTTACTATTATGTTTAAGATTTTTTCTAGTTTACTACATTTACTTGTTTGAGTAGAATACGAACTTGATGAATATTTTTGAATTTAGGCAAAGCGACAGGTATTAAGTTTTACAATATTACTAAACTGTAATGATCCCAGGACTTCCGATTGGAGTATGTGGTAAATCCTGATTGAATGCCTGCATTACTCATCAATGGGTATATAAAAGTTGTTGTGTTAGCTACCTCAGGACGCTGATGCTACTTGGGTGTCTTCATGTCAAGACCTGCCATTTCATTGACTCTTTAACCTTATGGTTTTGTTTTGCATTACTTATATCATGCAGTTAAAGTTTTGTTGTGATTATATCCTAAGTTCTTTATCTTTATTATTATCTATAGACATTTGTTGGTTGCTTTGATTGATTGTTCTATGAGTTACTTTTATAATAAATCATTTGCATTCAAGCTATTTTGTTGGTTCATCTCTCTTTTATGTTGCAACTCAAACAAGCGGGTCATAACACTTTGTAAAATGTGTCTGGTTGTATCCGAGATCTTGTCCTTTCAGTTATGACCATAGGTAAGAGTAGGAACCTAGATTGACCGGTAAATTGAGAACATTGCCTTTCATCTCAGCTCCTTAACCACAACCGACAATCACATCAACTGCATTACTGCTGCTGCTGCACTGATCCATATTTAAATCTCACATTCCATTCCTCATGAAAACGCAGATACCTGAACTCTATTTGGGGTAGGGACTCTCCTCCAAACTGGAGAAGGCCACCTTTTTCCAGTCAAGCACCATGGTTTCTGAGCTGCTGTTTTTTTTCCTGCCATGTCACGCTTGGCAGCAAACCATCCCACTGCATGCCGAGGGTCCATGTCCAGAGTACCCGTGGGGTCTTAAAAGCATTGAAAAACTCTTAAATTTCATAATTTCAAGTGAATGCCTTAATAGTCTTGAATTTTGTAAATAAAGTCTTGAATTTCATTACAAAGGTCTTAATTTTCTTCATTTATTTTTGCCTTTCCTAGGATTAAGTTTATACCGAAACAAAATGAACTGTTACTAATGTAGGCTAATTAAAAATTCATGCAGCGTAACGTTGAGTGCACCTCGCGCTCCACGTCATAGCAGAAAGCGTGAAAGCGTGCTGTAATGGAAATTCAGTTTTAGATGAGCTTTTTGTTAGAAACTTGTCTAAGACTCATTATTACATGTGTGTGTATCTGTGTTCTCCATATGTTCATCATAAAACCTATGTGTACATTTTTATAGATAACTATATTTCTTTAGGTGAAAGCTTTTTCATTATCCTAAGAAGGATGTGTGGTTGTTATGAGCATATCGCACGAACAGCAGAAGACGCCTGACGTAATTGTAGATGAGGCCTTATTGGGAGTTGACCTCGTAAGCAGTACAAACTAGATAAAAAGGGGAACACACTTGGCTTTAGTATCTCACTCTGCAGAAACTGTTGTTGCTGTATGACTGTGATCTTCTTTATAAAGAATAAAACTTGTAAAAGACATCCCGGGTAAGACTTTGTTTCTTGACCACTGAGAGAGCCTCCTTAGAGAAAATAGCCACAACAATTTGGTGTCAGAATAGTGGGATGTCTTGGAGGAACCTTTCCGGACCCTGCGGACGGTGACTGATCATCCTGGGACTTCGTGTCACAGCCCTGCCCCGTGATTGAGGGTTGAAGGGCCGACCGCCGGGCTTGGAGGGGGACCCCACTGACATCTGGGAAAAGAACTCAGTGGCATCTGAACTCTCTGGTAAGAAACAAATTCTTTGTTTATTGTTAAAAAAGGAAATTTAACAAGTTTTGGGTATTTGATTATTGTGATCAAAAATAATTAGAAGGGTTTTTACTGCAAATTGGGCCTCACCATGCTGGTAGATCTGTCTCTGTGGGATAGCGGCGTGATTAATGAAAGTGAGATCGGACATTGGGCGGAGATCAAGACCGTTGTTACAAGTGAGATCTGGCGTTTAGCTGAGATCAAGACCTTATACAAGTGAGATCTGGCGCCTGTCTAAGATCAAGACCTTTTTAATACGTTCGGCTAGCTAACTGCGATTTACTCCCGGGAGGGGGTTGAAATCAGGGGGCTGTACAATTTACTTCCAAAAAGAAGTTGAAATCCAGGCTGTGCGATTTACTTCCAGAAGAAAGTAAAAAAAATCATTTTGAAAACGAAATGCATTGATTTTATTTTTTTGCTGTTTGAAACAACTAA